ATCCGTCCTGTTACTCGTGGTGTCCGATCCCTCTGGATTCCGTTTACGCGGTAACATTCCTCTCGTTATCGCACTTTCGCCCGATACATGTGCGGTAACCTGAAAAAATGCGAAATTAATTAAACTGGATTTTTCTACAACAAAAATACAAAAATTTTGTTGAAATTCTATTCGTTTCAAATTTGATGTGTTTAAATTTGAATTTTGATTATTATTTTACTAACCTGCATAATTGTAATTAATGTAAAAATGTTGATGAAATGTTAAACGTAGCATTTGACCTGGTATTTCCGATTAAACCGTAACTTTTTAGCGAGATGTCGATTTCGCAAAAACTTCGCTTACGGCGAAGAAGCATAAAAAGAATCGTAGTCTCGCGAGAAACGTAAGATTATTATCTACAGTCATTTATCTGCGTTAACGCTTATTGAAGAGCCAATTGGAGATTCGCTACCAAGCAGCGACGTGTTCATAAATTCATTTGGTCTAAACGGCTTGCTTTATTGCCGTGTCATAAGAAAAGCGGACAGACAGAAAAAGAATAATAGCTCGTGGTAGCCGTACTTCTCAATGGATTCTTTTTTTTGCAACCAGCCGCGATCAATCTCACCACGATCAATCTTTCATTACCTTTTTGATATCTTAAATACTGTAACAGTCTAAACATAAAACTTTCTACAAGAACTAAATTACTATTTATAGTTTTGTCTTCTATTATGTTTTACACCTTCTCTATTTCAGAAAAATACTTTTTTGTTAATGATACATTTTTTTACTGAAATAATAAATAAAAAAAGAATTCATATACAAAATTGCTTGAAATAATTGTCTTTGAAAGAAATTAAGTATAAAAATTAGGCGTTCTGTGATACGAAATATAAAGCGAATCGGTCCGTTTAACTATTTGGCAGTTGTAACAGTTAAGATGTAGGTGAGCAAAATTTGTTCCAATAAAAGATCGCGTTGAGATCTTCGGGATAGAAAGGAAACTTCAACGAGACATTGAGGATGCGCATGGCTAGTCGCGCCGCGCCATCCCGATCCTTTTTTTTTATTCCTCACATCTTCCTCTCTTTCTCTCTTCTTCTGTCTCCCCTCTTATCCACGGCGATCGTGGCCGTAATTACTATTTTCTTACGTCCACCAAGCGGCTTATCCACCAACGATCTATCTATAGAACCCCGCGCTGGCAACCATCGCACGTCGGCGAATGGTACCGCGAATGGCTACGTTTTGCTCGTACCGTTGCATCTTCCACATTACACACAATTCTCCGCAGGTGACTTAATCGGCTTCCCTCTTCTTACTCTTCTTCTTCGCTCTTCTCTTCCTGCTTGCTCTTTTCTTCTCGTTTTTTTTCTCTCTTTTTCACTTGCGCAATCGATCGAAGAATCTCTTTTTTTCGGAGATTCTTACTCTTTTAAAATCCACCCTGAAATTTGATAGTACTACTGTCAATTTTTTGTTATTAATTTATATTATTATTAATTTTTGTATTTCGGATACAATTTTTTTTTGCGAATATTATCACAGCTGATTTTTGAATTTATCGCAACGTTTCATGCTCTCTGAGTCCTTCGTTACCTTTATCTTTCATAAACACGACGGGCATATTGTCACGTTCAGTCGGGCTGGCCCTAAGATAAGAACCTTACAAACGCCCTGTATCTGGCATGAGTGTCAGGTTTCCCTCGCGTTCGGACCTCAGTGTGATGGAGAGCACGCTTTCATTAGACTCAGACGCTTGGCACAGATCGCTGTTGGGACTATTAAGCATTACGAGCGACATTCCCGTGTCCGCATCAATTACTTCGGTTCGCGCAGCGTGTATAGGATTACGGCGTGACGTTGTCTCGGTTTGATGACAGTCATCTTTGAAAGGGAGTAGATGTCCGCTTGATTATCCGAGTCTGGCGTACTGCTAATCATCCGCGATGCCTTTGCGCGGACCGTTGAAAATTCGGAAGATAATCGGGAGATTTTTCTTCTGAAATCAAAATACAATGAAAATTGTCAGTTAATTAATTTTCTATTGTAATGGTAATATTTTGTCTTCTGTAAAGTGTAATAAAATAAGTAATAATTTAACATCTTCCACTGATATTGAGAAATTTAATTTTGATGTATGTTTGAAAAAGATGCTGCGAAAATATGCTAATCTTTCAGATATCTAGCTGTTTTTAAAACAGTGTTAAAAACATGACGTAAAATACACGCGTGATTCATGTTTTATTAATAATCATACATATTCAACTCACTTCGATAAATTAAAAATAAGAATTCCTCTCTGAAAAGATCCTAGATTCCATTGGTTCATTGGCTTTTCGCGATCGCGTGTTGAAACCTCTTTGATATATCGCCGTCCAACTGCGCGGAGATATTTCGAAGATATGCACACACTCTATCTTTCATCTCAGCAAATAGCTCACGAATAAAGTTCTATATTCCGTTTCTGCTCGTGTCTCCACCTCTCCTCTCCGTTCTTCGTGATATTTCTCTCTCGCTCCTTCGTCGTCGTCTTCGTTGGGCTGAACCCGACGACAGATTTATAAACGGTGTACCTACGGAGTACGGAGCGGCACGAATCTATGTACTCGATAAGTCTTGCGAAGATCGAACGACGACGACGACGATGACGGTGGCGGCGGCGGCGGCGGCGGCGGCGTCGACGATCCAACGAACGTCGTCGACATGTTGAATCCTAGGCCGCGGTCGCAACGAAATGAAATTTATGAAGCAAGAAATTTATCGGCAATCTGTGAGAGAACCCGTTCAGATATTTATGGTTTCTTTATTAGTGGACACGCGGCGCGGAATGAGTTAATGGCGTTTCAACACCTGCGCGTACGGGGCGCGTCCTTTAGTTAGACACGCGTGAGAACGAACACGTCTTTTTATGTAATTATTTATAATTATGATCCCATATATATTATCAGACTCACCGCGATTATCCGCGTGATCGTGTTCGAAACTAATCAATGCTTTTTTCGTTCTTTCTGTTACAGCCGTGGTAGTGCGGTACTTGACGAGGCGATACATCGGCGAGTACAGCTCGACCAGTGGTAAGTGTTTCTCCGTCATCTCTCTGTTTTCGTTTTTTTTTTATTTCGCTTTCTGAAAATAATTACCGATGTGGAGCGTGAATAATTGCATCCATTTGTTGCTAATTTCCGAGGCGTTGCATTCGGAACAAATGTCCCGTTCCTATCCGAGTTCCTTTCTCGCTCGCTATCGACTTATCTGCCGTGGGGCGGGCTCCGGCTCGGCGCGCGAAACGCTCACCCCGGAGTATAGCGAAACGCGAATCTAAATCTCGATCAGTTGCCTCGCGTGCTGCGGCGCGCGCGGGCCGCGGCGGGAAAAACCCGCCGTGAAATATTCCCGCGCTTAAAACCGGACTCTAATTCAAGGGTGCTCGTGAAAAATCTTAATCATGGCGCCTCGCGAGCGACGTCCCGAGGGCATTCTAGCGGTCACAGAAATACACAAGATAGCAAAGGGGAGTGAGGGTGCGGCGACTGCGGGGTTTTGTAAAGAGGTAGAGACGGAGGAGGAGGAACAGAGACGCAACGAATACAACGCCGGACTCGCGGAGGGCGGAGATTTAAACACTCGATATGAAATAGAGCCTATGGGGAGGGTCCGCAGAATGCAGATCTCTCCCATAACTCATGCAAGCTACTTCGCCATAATAATTGCCGTGCACGCCCGCGGACGTATAAGCTACGACGGCGAGTTTCGCGGATATTCGAGCCGCCTGGAAAAATCCCTCGTGAAGTATTGTCCCCTTAACCCTGAACCGCGCGTATTTTTGTAACACCTATGTGGCTACGGCCGGCCTATGCATCCTCGCCGACGTTTGCTGTGCGAGTACCACATTATTTTATCGTGATCCTGATAGTTATAGGGATGTTACAGTCATGATAATTAGAATATATAACTATGTAAAATGCCTAAATTTATTTGATTACAAAACTGCGTTAGTGAATGCGCTTGAATGGAAATTTATCCGGGATTAAGTTTCCTTTTTAGAAATTTATTTTTTCTTTGCGTCAAAAAAAGATAAATATAAAAATTATTACGTCGAATATTTTACAATTTGCACGTTCTTAGTCTTCATTTTTAGTTTCCAATATTTTGAGCGAATGATTATTCGTGCGTCGATATATTGTTTTATTTAAATTTTTTGTCAAGTTAAATGGATTTTATTTAGAACTATTTGAACGAAAAAACTATACTCAAATTGAAATTTGTAAGGCTTAAATTAATCCGCAGGAAGTTTCTCTTTACTCTACGTAACGCACGGAAAACTTCTCGGCACAATAGCGCAATCATCGATTTATCGAATTTCTCTCGTGTATAACTGGCAGTCAGAATCAATCTTGATCTCGATCGATTTAGCTGCGATCGATAACGCCGGACGAAAGTGGAAGGGTGCCGCGCGTGAGAGCTCTCTCCTACCATCGGTATTAATTAATTTCCTGGGAAAATGATGGATAATCACTGTTGAACGTAACCAGGAAGCGGATAATCTCGCGTGTCCCTTCCCCCTTTGCCGCGATCGAGAGAGAGGGAGGGATAATCGCTTAATCGATCCTCAAAGATGATGCCGTGGGCGCTACGATCTGATCACCTGTCCATTGAGAATCAATAAAAAATGATAAGAATGACGACGGAAAAAAACCGCGACGTAGACACGACAGGTAGTGTCTGCAGATATTATACAGGCCGCTTCATACAAGATAAACTTTACGAAATGGCCGGAAGCATAAATGAATATTGCAACAAGTGCCTTAATCTAAAGATAATTTGTTTCCGTAATAAAAATCAAAATAGCTTTTAATATATATTTTTTTTTTAATTTTCTAAAATCTTTTGCAGAATTTGCAAGCGTAAAATTTTAGAATGTTGATACTACATTTTAGAATTTTGGAATACTGCGGAAACAGTGAATTTTTGGGTCTTTTTAACGTTTTTCTAAACTTTGAGATTGGCTAGAATCAAGATGCTACTGCACGATTTGATCGCGTGCAGTGGCACATCTCTTTTTCTCTTTCAGCGCATCTCGTGTGAAACGAATCGAAAATGCGTCGACACTTCGTGCGACTCGTGCGCGGATTATTGCGCACACTTTCGTTCCCGGTCGTTGGAGAATCACTTTTCCGAAGAAAACGCCCTCGAACGGTGAAAGCGGGGCCATTGATTTCCTTCGGCTAGTCTCCGTGGCGGACAAATTGTGGAGAAAAATTCTGCTGCATATTTATAGAAATTAATTTGTTCACACGTCAATCTAAAGTTTGACAAAGAAAAAATTAATTTTTAATGAATTAATATTCTGTTAATAAAATGTATATTATATTAAACCAATTAATTTTTTTCAAAGAACTGCGGAGAAAAATAAAAAGGTTAAAAATATATAACACTTTAGATATATAAAAGCGTGAAAAGTCAATAATTTGAAATTATAAAGATCTAACTAATTTATTCGCTAAATCTTACCGAAAATCTCCGTAAAGTCTACGTATAATATCTAAATATTCAAGCGACGATAACAACGGTACAAAATTGCCATTTATTATTGGCTTCCATCGCACGACTTAAATTTGATTTCTCGAAGAAAGATCGAGGATGATCTTCCTCGGCAATTTCGATTACAAGGCATTCGTATAAGCGCAACATCGTCGTTTTACGGGAGATACTCGCAGATAATCGGTCCTTTTCATCTCTCGCCACGATGCAGCGTCCGCGCTTGTTATTATTTTGATCTCGATTAACAATGCAAATCTCTCTTTGCATGGAATAATTCTAGGCAATGATTTAGAAAGCGAGTCTCGTTGTATTGTCGATCCTCTCCCGCGCACTCGGATGGGAAACGTTTTGTCCGCGCGCGCGGAGAGAAGATTGCATCGTGCATCCCGATCGTTCGATAGATCGACGATAGATCACGTATTCGAGATGGATCCCTGGCAAAAGCCGAATCCGTACGGTCGGCGACAGTTATATTCCCAGTTACATTCGATGAAAGTGTGCCACGATCTTCTTTTTAAATTACAATTATTGTTTTTTACTATTCAATCTTTTAGAAATTGTATCTTGTATTTTCATCAAACTTGTTCATCACAAACTCGACTTTATCTTCTGATATGCAAATTCTTCTAATGTTTAGATTAGACTGTAATTTTAAATTACATTTTTAGATTTTTGCATATATATATATTAAACATATTAGACTCGGTTTGATCTACGAAATCCATTTGTTACATTTTATCTTTTAGCTTTAGCTACATTTAGTTTCTCTATTTCTTTTTATAAACGTAGAAGAAATCGTCACGTTTCATAAACGGAGTTTAAACTACATCTCGCGGTCTTGGAAGCACGTCGATAGTTCCACCACCGGAGGATGCAATGAATTTTCCGTTGCAACGCTTGGTCAAATCGTTTCTCCATCAGCATTGTCCGGCAATAAAACTTTCTCGAGCGTAACGGCCGCTAATATAACGAGCATCCTTATTTGCTTGTTTCTGCGCTTCTCCGGCTCTTCGCTGCCGTCGCTACGAGGTGTTTATGAGTTTATTTATCGTTTATTTATTGCGTTTACCTTGTTAGGGCTACTGTGTTCGATGCGTTTCTGTGCCTTCTTTTCTTCTTCTTGATATGCACGTACTTCTCGAACGCATTAATTAGTTTTCAAAAATATGAGCTTTCTTTTTTTCACTTGCTTTGTCAAAAATGTGAAGTTAAAATCTAAAAGTACTGGTAGAAATTAAAGAATGATAAATATCGAAATCTAAAAATTAAAATATTTAAATATATAAAACTTTAGAAATGAAATCTTAACATTCTCGGTGTTAATATTAGAAATAAGAACTGAAGAATTTACCAATCTAAAAAAACGTAAGCATTTAAAATTACAAATATGTGACGAATATGTATTGTTCAAGTGTTCAAGAAACCATGTGTAAATAATTCGAGCGTGCAACATTTAAAAAATGCAATAGTTTCAATGTGCGAGTAACCTTTTTCGTAAATTTCTAGCGAAAATCACGTGTCATTGTCGACGCGCATAATGACACAGCACTAAGCGCCAGCGTAACTAATTGGACTTATCGTCACTAACTGCTCTGGCACTTTCGCGCATTAGCCGCGTTTTCTATCCTTGGGAAAATGTTGTTTAGACTTTTTCAAGCCGATCGAACTATCATCGAATTGAGAAAAATTATTTCGCTTGTCTTTTTACGAGTTGTGTAAGATATTTACTGCGTTACTAATCAATTTGACGGTAATATTAACTTCGTAATTTTTATTTGTTTCAGATTTTCTGTACCGGCATAGCGTCACTATTGACAATGTCACGACGGAAGTCGAGATACTCGACACTTCCAGGTGCGAGGTAAGTTTCTATTACGATCTAATATCTGATCTAATTAAATCTTAATATTCTAAATATTATAGAAAATAATTTCTTTCCTCGAGAAATTGAATTACACCTTAATTATAACTTTGAATTATATATCAGAGAATAAAATTATTTAAACATGTTAATGGAACGAAAAGCAATTTAAAGAAATTATTTTCTAGAGTTGTAAAACTTTTCGTAAAATATTAAAGATCTCCTTTTTTCGTCATGTTTTTACGAACAATCGTTTACAATAGTACATTGATTTGACATTTCCGTATTTGAATTATGTTTGGTTGCGTGAGTTCTCGTCGCGAGGGTAATAAATAATGCATCGGCGCAACGGTATCCTGCACATTCGCGAGCCTTTTATCCTTGCGGTTTGCGAATGGTCCTGCACAGTTCTCGAGTCGAATCCGCCTTGCGATGTGCCTCGAGACGCGAGGTAGGATCTTTTCAAAGGCCTGGTCTAAATATATCTTCTTTCATTGGAGGCCCCCGGAGGGCCTTACAGCCCTTCAGGCCCACGTCCGTCATATCTCGGCGAAATAACGAGCGGCTCGCGAATCGCAGAGGCTATATACCGGTGTTCCTGCGGGCAATTCTTGAATCTCTAACACGTGCGTGCTTAGGTTATCCAAAGAGAAATCGATAACGAAAATTTAATAATTACAAGCGATAGGAACTATTATTTTATCTCCATGGTGTGGTGTATTTAGCATATTTTATAATATATTTAAGGATCCTGTGCTTTTTTACTGAAATATTTGCTGATATTTTTAAATAAAATATTTGTGCTTAGCACTTTCCACTTTTAATACGCTATGTATTTTATATAAATATTATCTTTGATAAAAATGATAGTTAATGCTGAGTCTTCCCGAACGGACGATCGACTCTAGGTCGAACGTTTCTACCCTGACCTTTCGTAACCCGATTCTTCTAGAATACGGTAACGAACGAACGTTGAGCTCTGAGGCGGAAATCCTGCGAGTTGGCCCGTTAGCCACGTATTTGAATTGAATAACGATCGTCTTTAAATTCGTATCTAGGCGATTGCGACTGCATGAACAACACATGGCTTCACCTGTCGCGGCAACAGCTCATTGAAATTCCAGTGAGGTCGCCTTATAGTATGTCGGATAAAATATTGTTTTCTTTTTTTAAGAGAATTTTAAGGGATCATAGCCAGATTCGAATATAAACAGCGATAAGCTAATTTTGTCTTTTGTCTTTCTTAAAATTTTCCGTCAAATTAAAAAAATTGTTTTAATTTGTTTTAAAGTCGCGAAGTTCCTTAATTCAAAAATTTCCAGATTTTTATCTATTTGTCAAATTTTTTAAATTTTTATATGTGCTGCTTATATGCTTTAAAAATATAAAGATTCAAAGTTTTAATGTTTAAAATTTCTAAATATTGAATTTTTAAAATTTAAGCTTCTGATCTCTTAAGTTCCGAATTTTCAAAAATGCAAAATTCAACTTTTGTACTTCCAAGTCCTAAGCTATATGTTTTAGAGGATACTATATGCTTAGAGCGGTAATCGCTCTGTAATTTGATAATAGCACGGATAATAGCATGGATTACACAGCGGCAGAATAAGTTGCAATTTATTTTTGTGGACTCCGCGGTTTCGTTTTGGCATTTAACTGTATCCTTCCCCTCGATGAGCGGTGAGAAAGTTCATTCATAGAAAGTATTTCCTGCATAAGTTCAAGTATTGCGACTCTCTGGCGCCTTTTCGACGTGGCAGAACGATTGCATGCGTTTATTACGTAGAGTTAAACACGAATACCATACTAAAGAGCAGACTTTCATTATCGAGTAATTTTATTGTACCATTACATTGATGTTATATCATTATAATGGAACAGTATATATAAATTAATCAAATTTAAAAAATTGCCTTTTATCTAATGACACAAAAATGTAATTTATATTAGAATGGTTGTCTAATAAAATTTCTTGCTTAGAAATGAAGATAATTTGAACATATTCAAGAATTGATCTCAATTCTTCTAGGCGGTGATAGGCATAATTCTTTGGCAAGGAAGTTTTAAGGGACATTTTAAAGCGGATTTTCAAAAGCCGCTTCTCTCACGAACTGCTTACACGCACATTACTACACTGACACCCGTTGGTTATTCGGTAGCGCTGCAACGAGACTCGATCAGGCCCGGGTTGTTTTTAGCAAACTGGTTTTTCTACCCGAGGCTCACAATTACCAACTTCCTTTTTTGCGCTGCCCCCCAAATGTTTGCACCTGTCGCTTAAAAGATCGCGAACCGTGATCTGTAGAATGGCACACTAGATACGAATCTTCGAATGCTACGATCCAATAAATCCTATCAATGTTTTATTTCCTAGATTTTCATTTTTTTAGAAGTTATCAGATTTTCGAATTCAAGAAGATTTAAGCCTTTCAATTCTTTCAAAACGTAGAATTTTCTAAGTTTAAATAAATTATTAAAATTTTATACTTTAATTTTCCTCGAATATTGTTATTTCTAATTAATTTTTAAATTCGCAACTCCATCCTTTAAAGTTTAATTTTTATTCACAATAATTTCAAATATTCTATTTTCGACACCACTGCACCATTAACTGACACTACACGACTCGCTGGCAAACAATGCTTGTCCATTTAGAGAACCTTGTACGTAGAACGCGTAGGGATGCATGCACCGTTACCGTGTGTATACAATAAATAATCTGGAACAGGAAGTGACTGTGTGCCTGCGAACACAAAATTACATTTTAAATGCTTCTTTATTTGTTAATATATTGTTAGAATTCTAAAAAAAATATTTCAATAAATAAGATAGAACAATTCGAACATAAAAATTTTAGTTAGACAATATTCTAAGTGAATAGAAACGTTTTAAATGTCCATTAAGCTGATACAATCACTTTAGTATAATCAAATTAAATATATATACAAAAATTTAATGCTATTTTGTTGCTTCAATTGTTTAGTTAAAAAAATGGTTATGCCAATTTAAGTTTTTAGCACAACCGCACAAAATATTATGGAAAAGTAAAAAATAAATGATAATTTTGCGACAAAATAGCACTAGATTTTTGTATACATTGAATTTGATTATACTGAAGAGGCTATGTCAACATTACAAATTTTGTCAGTTTAGTAAGAAAACTGTGGTGAGAATGTTGTCAGGGAACAGGATCTAGGAAGATCGATATCGATGTGGATTAGTGTGGCAGTGGTGCAGGAAGTCGACGTGATTCCGGGTAGAAGAAGCGGATCGTTAAATACGCCATCAGCGCGCGGACACTTCTCTCTAACTCTTCCGCACCAATATATCACGTCCGAGGTTCTATTGTAAACGAGATTTTTAGGTCGGTCTCCTTTGCTCCCGGTAAATCTTCGCGAAACTCCTTCGCGCTTACCAGGATTAATCAATCCTGGGCAACACGATGTTTATCACGAGTGCAACATTTACGAGCAACATATCATTTTCATCTCGGCATTTTTGTTATCAAGTTGCATCCACTATTAGTCACGTTTAACTTTAATAAATCCGCGAAAGCTGTTAGCGATTAAGATTTTTTTATACGAAGAGATTACATTCACTTATCTCTATATTTACATTTTAAGGTTTCAATTTTCAAACTCTCACGTTTCAAGTTTCAAAACTCCGATGTTCTGAAATTCTGGAGTTATCAAATCTTCAAGCTACGGCAGAAGAGGGAGGAAGTTGAAAAACTGTGAGGAGTAATAAGGGTTGTGGTAGGAGGGATAACATGCCGAGACGCGAAAGTAACAGTCCAGGAATAAGCTCGCGCCGAGCTATTAAAGTACGATTTGGAAGAAATAAAGGAGAAGAATGTGCGTGGCGATAACACGTGCGAGAGAGAAAGCGTGAGAATGAAGGAGAGAGGATCTAGATCACGTGTACAAAATAACCCAATCGAATCCCTTCGCGCCGCGAGTCGAAATTCCTTACATGAAATAAAATATTTGACATACATATTACAAAATATTCCTTGCGTTTAAAATTTTAATTTTAATAAATAGTTTACTATTGTATTTTGTATCGTATTTTATTCTCCAAATTTTTACCTGTAAATTCGTTAACGTTATCGTTGTAAGATAAAAATTAATTTTGCTTGATTGAAATTTCGCGTTTTAAAGGGCTTCTTTGGGCTTTAACTATTTCGTATTCTAACACAAATAAATATACGAATTAAAATTAAAGATAAATATGTAATAAAAATGTCACGAAACACGTTGCATTGCTTGAACACGGCTGCCCGCGCTATGAATTTCAGTGGAATATCTTATTATAGTTACATATTAAAATTTCGAACACAAGGAATATCTTGTAATATCTTGTAATATCTTGTTATGTGGAAAGTTGTCACACATACATATACAAACAATATTTTTTGTTAAACATTATTTCGAGGATATTTATCTTTAATTTTAAGTTTTTTTAATTTCTTCAATTTCTTCGAGTCCCAAGTTTTTGCATTTCTGGATTTCCAGGATCTCAAATTTCTTAAGTCTCAAGTTCCAACGCGAACGCACAAACGCCCGAAGTTCTTAAATTACCGAGGAACCAAGTTCTCAAGTTCCGTGGGACAAGAATCCATATACCGACTATCTGAATTATCTGAAAATCGTGCAACGAATATTAGAACAAATAATCGATAATTCGTTGTTAAACCATGGCCTCGGTCGCGCCACTAAAATGCATAACGCATCGGATGTTCGCGGTGTAATCTTTCCAATTATCTCAACATTCCTCTCACTTTTGCCGATATCTAACCGCGATATTATATTCACCGATTATATTTAACGTAACAAAGGGAAACGGCTTAAATTCGCAGGCATATACATACCTCGTATTTCAACCGCGATAGGATACGCTGAATATATTCCAGTCGTCGCTGCTTTATCCTAAAATGCATTTTGTTAGAAAGTTATAACGTACTATTTTTTTATTCATTTTTTATAATCAAGATAAATTGG